ATACATACATAATATATACTGTATATGTGTCCTAGTGATTTTGCTTTGATGGTTGTCAGCAGCATTTAATGTATATTGAGTCTATGTATGTGTATTCTTTCTATAGGGGCATCTCAATACTACAGTAGTGATCCTTGCCTCTGGCACGCTCCTCTCATTCGGCTCTGGAGTGGAAGGAAGGGTGGAATTACCATACCAAATCCAGATACTGTATTCTGATTGGATAGACTAAGCCCCCCATAGGTTTATAAGCCAGCTCCATCCCATGGTCTGTTGGGTTTATTCTCCCACACCCGCTGACTGAGACTAAGAAGACATGGTACCCAGAGCTTTATTCCTCCTTTTCTCTGCTTCATTCTGGTCCCCGGGACTGACAGTACCGGTACCGGTAAGTGTCCTACTATAGTGTGTCCTTCAAGGATGTCTAAAGCTGATTAGTAGATTTTTGAACAAACATTTCTATCACCAGTTGTATGTAAATTCTCAGTACATTAGATGACTTGGCCAATGTCGTTCGGAAGTATTGCAAAATTTTGTTTGCTATAAACCTTTAATTTTGGAACAGATGGACTTTATCAAATGAAAGCTACAGTCACTTGTTCGAGAAAACATTTCCATTGTGCTCCATCGAATATTCTCATAACTGTGAAAGTAGAATGAACGCTCTAAAAATGAAAAATGTGTAGCAAAATTCAACAAGTATATGGCTAGCTTAAGAGAAAATACAATTTTTTTAATGCTTCTTATGGTGTCCATACAAATAGAGATTTTTGATTGATCTAGGTACAAGCGGTTGTGAGTGACAAAGTAATGAACTATTAAAAATGATTGTTTTATTGATCTGTATTAAGCTCAGCACACACTCTACAATCCAACTGTACAATTACCTTCATGTCTACCAATGACTGGATCATGTAGGGATCTGCTTGAGTGGGTACAAATTCATTGGATAGTTTAGGTGGGTCCTTATAATGCATAATTTTAGCAAATTTAAATTAAATTGTACAGGGATTGTGCAGTCAAATTATAATGTGTATGCTGAGATTTTCAATCAGTTCTCATGGAGATATTTCTCTGATTGATCAGAAACATTTTGTCACAGCCATTCATGTTGGTAGAGTCAAAATCGATCATGAAAACGGCTACCTTATATGAATTTCATATCTGGATTTAACGCTTTGCTTGGAGTTTGGCTTCAAGTATAACTAAAGGCAAAACATTCGTTTTTAATGTTGGATGGAGTGGAGAGGGATTAGAATCAGGGTGGATTTGATTTAAATCAAACTGATTTAAATCACGATTTAAATCACGATTTAAATCACTAGTCAGTAAGGCTTGATTTAAATCCTAGTTTTCTACATAAAGACTAATTCTTGCTGGTATAACTTTAATATACAAGTAGATGAAGATTTTTAGAACAACAACTTTTCATATTAGTTTTTTTATCCCCAGTTTAATAGGTTAATCATTCATATTTGGACAACTTTTCTGTTGTATTTAGGAAGGAGAAAAAATATCATTACCTTAATAATAACAATTGAAATAGATTTATTCAACTGAAACAATAACATTCCAGCATATGTGATTTGCTTAAACATCCATGTTTGGTAACTAATTTGGCTAAACAAAATCTATATATTTTAAGAAACGTAGACTGTCAGCCCCTTCCTCCTCACACTTAGTTTCACTTTCTTCTTGTGCAGATCTATTCCACTCCAAACAATCAGAAAAATATTGTTTCTATTCTATTCACTGAACTTCTTGAAACTTAGCACTGAAGGGGTTGATTCTGTATTCATAGGTTTGTAGAAGTTAGGATGAAGGTCTTTTTCTTAACTCTGTTCATGTTATAACATTTTTGCTGTGAAGAAGAGGCATGTGATCTCCGCTGAGTCAAATTCAGTTTTGAGAACTGCAAAAGTAAACCAACATCTGTGATAATATCTTGTAGGCAGAGAAACTGCCCAATAATCTTACAAAAACCTCTGGAAGAGCATGACATTGTGAATGGATTCATGGAATTTATTTACCAAAAAAATAAACATATACAGCCTTATTCTACATAATTAAAAAAACTAATCTTTATTTCATGATGGAATAACCTTTGGATGGTAATATATTTTCCTCAAAAAGCATTTTATTTAAAAAAAATCCGATTTAAATATAAAAAATCAGATTTAATTTAAAAAAAAAAAAATCTGATTTAAATAAAAAAAAATCCTGATTTTTTTTTATTTTTTTTTAAAAAAATCATTGATTTTTATCCACCCTGATTAGAATACCTGTCAGGATTTTATTGATGTCTGTGTCCCTGTTAGGGAGAGTCATCCTCTTTATTTGTCTTGTTTACCATTATCACCAAGAGTGGAAGTAAAACAAAATCCCAAATGTTGGGTTGTCCCCAGAAAAGGAATGCACAGATCATAATAATAATCTATCAGAGGGAAAATATTTAGTATAGTGTGGAAAAAAGGAAGAAGCAGATCATAAAATTGTAAAGAGGAGAGATTTATCATTGCAGTGTTTCCATAATGAGGTGCTGAATATTATTTTCTTATTTTTTGTATAGCCATTCCACCCGGATGACACCTTACGTAAGTAGAGCATTATATCATTTTATAATATTCATGCTTGAAATGGGCATTTTATATTTCTGGATGCAAAGATATTGGTTGAAATTATAATAATAGTAATAGTTTGGAATATTTAGTAAAAATGTATTACACATGTAGGTCGTGTGAGTTTTGACTTGCAGCACTGGGGTCCTGGGTTTGGGAATATATGTTTTCCTCTTGGAAGTCTTGGGTGTTTGACACAATCCAAAAACATACTGTAAGGCTGATTGGTGTCAAAATTAAAGCTTATGTGAACAAAAATACATCTGTGCGGGTGGTGCGGATTCGCATGAAAATCCGTGCAGCCGCACCACCCCCGCACAGAGAAATGCGGACCTGCGGACGGGTGCCATTAGCTCTAATTGGCACGCCGCCCACACTGGAAAATGCAACCGTACGGGATGCGTTTTCCAAAGAAGTGCAGGGAATTCTGCCCTGCTTGTCACGGGCACGGGAGTCCATTCAAATGAATGGGCTCTTGTGCCTGTGCAAAACGCGGCCCGTACAGCCACACAGATGTGAACCGGGGGTTCAACTGTATAGTTACCTTTTTGCCTTTTAAATTTATTTTTTCTTTTGTTGGTGTGAGTTAATGTTTCATAAACCCCTGTACATCCTGACACTTTCTGCTCTCTCTGAGGACTTCTTTGATAGAGTGACCACTGGCTCCCAATGTTTCAAATGGTGGTGATCTTCTTGGCTGCACTACAGGCAGTCAATACTTCCTGCTGGTTGATTGACAGATCCCTTGACTATTTAACAGCTAAGACTGGGACTTCTTGTAATTGTAATGGAGAAAGAGCTAAGTGCTGGTTCCAGGGGTGGACTGACCATTTGGAAACTCGGGTACTGCACGAGGGCCTGGGGTCAGAAAGGGGCCCCATGAGATGCCCCTGGTACCTTTTTTCATAGGCTTTCTTGAGTTTGGGCAAGGACACAGGGGCCCCATGATCCCCTATTGCCTGGGGGCCCCATGAGTTGTCAGTCCGCCCCTGGCTGGTTTCCTTATAAATGCGAATTGGATGCGGTTTGAACCACATCCAATCCACATGACAAGTGAAAAAACATTGCTTCCTATGGTGCCTGTTCACATATGTCCCATGCACTGGCGGTGCAGATTCAGTGCAGTTTGAAAAAGAGTCCTGAACGATTTCTGAGTAGGGCGGTCCGGTTTAGGTGAAGATTACAGGCTGTTGACTTCTATGGGAACTGTTTCTAAACCACATATGTGTGAACAGGATAATCCTGAGCTAATCTGGTCCTGAACCTGATGTAAACCTGACCTGAACAACTACTGTATTAGTTAGCTGTGAAACCTGAGCTTCAATCCTTGTGTTGCGAATTTTGAAAATTATTTTCTTCACAATGTTTATAGATACAGAGATAAATGAGGGTTTGTTTTAAAGTGATTTTACTGCTTTTTCTGAACATATCAATACTCGATGGTAAATGATCTGGGCACTTTCAAGTGTTCAGAATTTTACCGGCCATAAAAATATGGCGTTCGCTCATATTATAGATCAGTTATACTTTGTGTCCATCATTATCAGGGTCCATGCACACTGGCTTAAAAAAATCGCTGCTTCCACAGGAGTTTTGTGTAGTGCCTGTAGAAGCAGCTTAATGGTATCCTATGTGTCAGTTCACTTAAGGAAATTTAGAGGCATATTTCAAGCTCAGCGTTTAGAGGCAGAAACCCCCCCCCCCCCCCCCATCTGGTTTGCATTTTTGAGGGGCATTTTCTAGCAGAAAAAAAAAAACGCTAAACGCCCTTAAACGCCTATACAAAGCGTTCTATATGAGGTTTTCTTTTTTTCTGCTAAAATAACTGGCCTTTTTAAGCCCAGTATACTTGGACCCTCAGTCTGTGTTATGCTTCGTGTGGTATAAAGATGACAGTCTGGAGATTCTACTTCTGTATGATAAGGAATAAATGGTTGATATTAAAGAGGATCTGTTAGGGCAGAAATAAAGGATGTGCTGTCACCTCCTTGGAGCATCTTCCAGAGCTGTTTTGCTTTTTCTCTATTGTTCTACAAGTGCAAACTTGCCCTCATAAATTAAATAGGAAATCCACCCTTACTTAAATAAAATTTCATATTCCTAAGGCTCCATGTACACGGGATGTTTGGAAAACACTTCTGAACGATGGACACTGACTGCTGAAAAGCATAGATTAAAAAACGTCTGTTTAGCCACGTTTAACTACTTGCCGACCGCAGATAGCCGAATGACGGCTGCACTGCGGCCGGCCAGTTCTGGGTGGACGTCATATGAAGTCCTCCCAGAACGCGCTCTCCTGTGCGCCCCCAGGGGCGCGCCCCCGGTGATCTCTGTGATCGCTGTGTCCTACGGACACAGCTGATCACGTGGCGTGGTAAAAGGCCAATCACAGCGGCCTTTTACCCCATGATCAGCTGTGTCCAATGACATGCTGATCACCGGGAAATGCAAATGCTGGTTCTCGGCTGCACTTTCCTCACGCTGTCAGATCGTGAGGAAAGTACTGCCGAAAACCGGCAGTTGTCAGAACGGGGATCGGCACCGATCATCAGGGTTACTGATCATCAGTGCCCTGATGATCGGTGCCCAGCAGTGCCACACACAAGTTCCGCCCACCTGTGCCCAGCAGTGCGCCCACCTGTGCCCAGCAATGCACCCACCTGTGCCCAGCAGTGCGCCCACCTGTGCCACCCAGCAGTGTCACCACCTGTGCCCAGAAGTGCCACCTACCTGTGCCCAGTAGTGCCACCCACCTGTGCCCACCCACCTGTGCCCACCAGTGCCACCCACCAGTGCCCATCAGTGCAGCCCATCAGTGCTGCCAGTCAGTGCCATCAGTCAGTGCCCAGCGGTTGTGGCAGTCAGTGCCCAACAGTGCCGCCAGTCAGTGCCCAGCAGTGATGTCAGTCAGTGCCACCTATCAGTGCTGTCTATCAGTACCCATTATTAGTGTCGCCTATCAGTGCCACCAGTCAGTGCCGCCTATTCATGCCACCTCATTAGTGCTGCCTATCAGTGCCGCCTATCAGTGCCCTTCAGTGCTGCCTCATCAATGCACATCAGTGAAGGAGAAAAATTACCTGTTTGAAAAATTTTATAATAGAAACAAAGAAACTTTTTTTTTTTTTTTCAAATTTTTTTGCACTTTTTTTGCTTATAGCACAAAAAGTAAAGTGCCCAGCAGTGATTAAATACCCCCAAAAGAAAGCTCTATTTGTGAGAAAAAAATTATAAAAATTTCATATGGGTACAATCTTGCATGACCGCGCAATTGTCAAAGTGCGACAGCAATGAAAGCTGAAAATTGGCCTGGTAAATAAGGGGGTATAAATGCCCGGTAGGCAAGTGGATAAAAGAGTTTTTTTGTACCGGGTCCATTTGAATACATGGAAAACACTTTGCATGCATTTCTGATGATGAAAAACGGCCCTGGACAGCATTTGGATATGGAACAGTTAAAAAAACGCTTATAAACAAAAACACTTATAAACGCGTTTAGAAGCGTTGTTTAAAAGATAACCTCAGGAGACCTTCCAAAATGCTCAGAATGCACTGAAAAACAGTAAAAAATAACTATTTCAGACATTTTGAGAGAAATAGAGAGAGCAGAAGCAGAGAGAGCAGTATGTGTTGAGATAACCTGTCTTTTTTGGTTGTATTCACTATGGATCCCATCATGAGCATAATGCGGTACGTTGTACCATTTTTTCCTTCACGCAAAACCAGGAACTGACTGCGCTGGTGTACCGGGTCCATTTGAATACATGGAAAACACTTTGCATGCATTTCTGATGATGAAAAAAGGCTCTGGACAGCATTTGGACATGGAACAGTTAAATAATGCTTCTAAACGCAATTGCTTATAAACGTAGTTAGCCGCGTTTACAAGCGTTTGGCATTTGAAATGCTAATAAAATCTACTCCTGAACGCAAGTTTGGTGTGTTTAAAAAAACGACTGTAAACTCAACTGCCTGTAAATGCCTGTAAATGACGATGTGTACATGGAGACATAGGAAAACATTAGGGAGAGTTCAGGGGCTGCTGAAAAAACGCAGAAAAGCTCCTAAACGTGAATTTATCAGCTGCAGTGTACATGAACCCTTAACCTTGTCCCTGTAAAAAAAACATACAGTATTTTTCGCTCCATAAGACGCACTTTTTTCCCCCCAAAAAAGGGGGAAAATGTCAGTGCGTCTTATGGAGCGAATGTAAAGCGGCCGGTGTGGTATTTCTGCCACCACCATGTCAGAATATCGGGACGGCCACTCAGCTCTTCTCTCCTGCAGGGCCTTACCTGTTCCTTGCTCCAGCGCTGCAGTCTTCCCGTGGCAGCTTCTGTGACAGCCGGGTGCCCACTGCGCATGCGCAAGAAGCGCGGCGCTTTGTGAATGGTCCGGTGTCTTCTGGGACACATGACAGATCCCAAAAGGCTCCGGGCCATTCACAAAGTGCAGTGCTTCTCGCACATGTGCAGTGGGCACCCGGCTGTCACAGAAGCCGCCGCGGGAAGAAGGAAGGACAACTCCGCGGAAGTGGGAGCGGGTACCTGTCAAATACAGGTACCCCTTCCCCCTCCCTCCCCAAAGGTCCGCAGTCTCTGGTAATCTCCTTTACTGTCTGCAGTCTCTGGTCATCTCCTGTACTGTCTGCAGTCTCTGGTCATTCCTGTACTATGTCCGCAGTCTCTGGTCATTCCCTGTACTGTGTCCGCAGTCTCTGGTCATCCCCTGCACTGTCTGCAGTCTCTGGTCATCCCCTGTACTGTGTCCGCAGTCTCTGGTCATCTCCTGTACTGTGTCCGCAGTCTCCGGTCATCCCCTGTACTGTGTCCGCAGTCTCCGGTCATCCCCTGTACTGTGTCCGCAGTCTCCGGTCCTCCCCTGTTCTGTGTCCGCAGTCTCTGGTCATCCCCTGTACTGTGTCCGCAGTCTCTGGTCATCCCCTGTACTGTGTCCGCAGTCTCTGGTCATCCCCTGTACTGTGTCCGCAGTCTCTGGTCATCCCCTGTACTGTGTCCGCAGTCTCTGGTCATCCCCTGTACTGTGTCCGCAGTCTCTGGTCATCTCCTGTACCGTGTCCACAGTCTCTGGTCATCTCCTGTACCGTGTCCACAGTCTCTGGTCATCTCCTGTACTGTGTCCGTAGTCTCTGGTCATCTCCTGTACTGTGTCCGCAGTCTCTGGTCATCTCCTGTACTGTGTCCGTAGTCTCTGGTCATCTCCTGTACTGTGTCCGTAGTCTCTGGTCATCTCCTGTACTGTGTCCGTAGTCTCTGGTCATCTCCTGTACTATATCCGCAGTCTCTGGTCATCTCCTGTACTGTGTCCGTAGTCTCTGGTCATCTCCTGTACTGTGTCCGCAGTCTCTGGTCATCTCCTGTACTGTGTCCGTAGTCTCTGGTCATCTCCTGTACTGTGTCCGCAGTCTCTGGTCATCTCCTGTACTGTGTCCGCAGTCTCTGGTCATCTCCTGTACTGTGTCCGCAGTCTCTGGTCATCTCCTGTACGCTGTACGCAGTCTCTGGTCATCCCCTGTACTGTGTCTGCAGTCCATTGGTTCAGAATATTTTTTTCTTTGTTTTTCTCCTCTAAAACCTAGGTGCGTCTTATGGAGCGAAAAATACGGTACTTACTTGTCCATGGAGTCCAGTATTGTCCTGCTCGTAGGACGGTATTGCCATCTTCAATTGGGATCTGGCGTATGTGCAGGCACACCGCAGGGATCTTTGCCAGGTCGATGGGTTCTAGCAGATCCCTGCAGTATGTCTGGTCTCTGTAAACAGGCTTCTGCAGATGCGTGAGATCCCTCAAACTACCACCTGGGATCTGCGGTGTAAAACCCCAGGAGACCGTTCTCAGGATCTCAAACATGCACAGGATTTCTGGAAGGACCTCCAGAGTGACCCATCGTGTTTGTGAGCATGCTAGGGATATGGGTACATCATCTTCATCTAGGTGAGAATTAAGGACACGAATTTTAGTAAAAAAAAAAAAAAAATTTAAAAATTACATATTTGTTTGCAATTGTGTAATGGGGGAGTACGTAGGAGGGAGGACCATAAGAAAAGTGGGGAAGGTCTGCTTTAAAGAATACATAATCCCATCATTTCATATTCCGGTTATGCGCCTGCTGTACCATGTACTGTTATGAAAAATATCCTGTCTCTTTGTATTGCTTCCTTTGTGTGAAATCCCTGGTGTCCCTGCCAGTGCCTCTGCTTTCCTATTAAAAACTGATCACACTAGGCATGGGAGCAAAGTGTGGTCAGTTTTCTAGCTATGGATGATCAGATTTGTCCTGACCCCCCCCCCCCCCCCCTGCACAGCCATTCAAGTGAAATCTAGTGTACTGCTGTTTCTCCTCCCTCACCTCTCTATGCATCTGATAACAGACGGTATGAGATCACTTAAAAAAAAGGGAGAAAAATATTTTTTATATCTACGCACATGTTTTGCTTTTTAATTTCTGTTTTGAACTGAATTGTTTTTTCTTTTTTTCCCTTTAGCAGTTGCCTTCGATGATGACCACTGGACCATTTTTGATCAAATCGTGCAAACAAATAAAGGTGATGCCAAGATTACTCTCCAAATGTTCTTTCCAGACAAGTATTCAACTGATGTCTAATGTCTGAGCCTTAAATTTTTCAATGTATAGGGCTGATTAATTTGCACAATGGGAAGAATTATGTTGCTGCATTATTATGTTATTATGTTGCAAATGTTTCATTGATCACATATTATAGCTGAGAGGTTCACCTTAAGGGACAAGTTTATATATTTACCGTATTTTTCGCTCCATAAGACGCACCTGACCATAAGACGCACCTAGGTTTTAGAGGCAGAAAACAGGAAAAAAAAATTCTGAACTAATGGACTGCAGACATAGTACAGGAGATGACCAGAGACTGCGGACAGCACAGGGATGACCAGAGACTGCGGACAGCACAGGGATGACCAGAGACTGCGGACAGCACAGGGTATGACCAGAGACTGCGGACAGCACAGGGATGACCAGAGACTGCGGACAGCACAGGGATGACCAGAGACTGCGGACAGCACAGGGGATGACCAGAGACTGCGGACAGCACAGGAGATGACCAGAGACTGCGGACAGCACAGGGATGCCCAGAGACTGCTGACAGCACAGGGATGACCAGAGACTGCGGACAGCAGAGGGATGACCAGAGACTGCGGACAGCACAGGGATGACCAGAGACTGCGGACAGCACAGGGATGACCAGAGACTGCGGACATAGTACAGGGATGACCAGAGACTGCGGACAGCACAGGGATGACCAGAGACTGCGGACAGCACAGGGATGACCAGAGACTGCGGACAGCACAGGGATGACCAGAGACTGCGGACAGCACAGGGATGACCAGAGACTGCGGCCAGCACAGGGATGACCAGAGACTGCGGACAGCACAGGGGATGACCAGAGACTGCAGACAGTACAGGAGATGACTGCTGACCTTTGGGGAGGGGGGGGGAGCGGGTACCTGAATTTGACAGGTACCCGCTCTTACTTCCGTGGAGTTGTTCTTTGACCTTACCTGTTCCTCTATCCAGCCGCGCGCTGTCTTCCCGGCTTCTGTAATGGCGCTCGGCATGACAGCCGGGTGCCCAGTGCGCATGAACGAGAAGCACTTGCGTTTTGTGATTGGTCCGGCGGCTTCTGGGATCTGTCATGTGTCCCAGGTACCGACTTACCATTCACAAAAAGCACCGCTTCTTGCGCATGTGCACTTGGCACCCGGCTGTCAAGCCCAGCGCCCACACTACAGAAGCCGGGAAGACAGCGCGCCGCTGGATAAAGGAACAGGTAAGGTCAAGGAACAACTCCGCGGAAGTAAGAGCGGGTACCTGTCAAATTCAGGTACCCGCTCCCCACCTCCCCAAAGGTCAGCAGTCATCTCCATAAGGTC